ACAAGTCTTTTTTTCCGTTACAACATTGAAAAGGATAAATTTTCAATGCTCAACAGGCGCAGTGGGACCAAGTATATAACTGCTTCAGACGGACAGCATAGGCACAATGTGCTGAATGGCCTTATGTTGCAAGATTCTGTGAATTTGAAGATTAGGGAGGACACTGGAGATCTGTACTTCCTTTGCTTACTGTGATCTGCCTGTACTGCTTGTAAAAGCTTTTCACTGTATTTCGGTACATGTGACAATGAATCAATCAGTTTTTTTTTGGGCAGGGATGGCGATGAAATGAGGAAGGGAGAGTAATGAGCCAGCATTCTCTGGGATAAAGGGAAAAAGACTGGATTATTTTGTTGGAATTAACTCTACCTCAGCCCTTCTGAGCTAGGACCATCGTGACCATCTAGAAAACAAACGGGATGAATTCCATTTTAAGAGCCTGCAGCTGTACTGCAGAATTCGGACTGCTGGAGGCTATGGCTTTGTAGTTCATACTTTCTCTCATAATTCTTATAAATCTTTCATTAGTTCTTGAAATTAAAATAAAAAGAATAATAAAAGATTAGATGGTCATGCACTTCCTTCTTATTCATTCCTTGTATCTACGTGCAGATAATAAAATCAGCCATGTTTATGCGAAAAATTGTATGAGGGGGGCTGTTCACCCAACACCTTGGGCAGTCATATTTAATGAAGGATGGCACATAACTAGGGTGGCACAGATCTTCCAACCCCTGTTCACTTCAAACAATGTTTTCTGGATGTTTTTTGTTCACCTCGCAAACTGTGGACAGACAGGGATAGTACAGATCTCATGCCGCAGTGCATGAGAAGCCCTTTCAGCCCATCCTGTCTGCACTGGCTTTCTTAGAAAGCAGTCAATCAGTTCTATTCTCCATGGAGCCCTGCACATTCTTCCTTTTCAGATAACATTTTAATTCCCTTAATAAAGCCTTTATTGATCCTGCCTTCACCAGACTCTCAGGCAGCTCATTCCAGAACCTAACCTCTCTCTAAGTGATAACATTTTTTCTCATGTTGTTGGTACGTCTTTTACCATTTGCTTCTTTTAAATTTGTGTCCTCTTATTCTTAATCCTTTCACAAATAGGAAAAGCTTCCCCCTATTTATTTTGTCCAGACCCCTTATGATTTCAAACATCTCAATCAAATCTCCCCTCGACCTTCCCTTCTACAAGGAAAACAATACCAGTTCATCCAATCTTTGGAAGGGAGCTTTTGGATCCCTGTAAACATTCTTGTGGATCTTTTCTGCCTCTAATAAAGTTTAGAGTAAGTTTTCACTAAGTTCTTTCCTGTAAGATTTCAACCACTGGGCAGAAATGGAACTGGAAAAGACAACTTGCATTTATATAGCACCTCTCACAACCTCAGGACATCCCAAACAGCTCTGCTTTTTAAGTATGGTCATTGAAACTTAGAAATGCAGCTGCCAATTGGTACACAGAAAGCTCCCAAAAACAGCAATGTAATAATGACTGCAGTTGTGATGTTGATTGAGGGATAAATATTGACCATGATAGGTCCACCGCTCTTCCTCAAAATAGGCTCATGGGATCTTTTACTTGCACCCGACAGCATTTAGGGTCTCACCTGGAAAGTTGTACCTTTGACAGTGCAGCTCTCCTCCTTAGGCTTTTGTGCCCAATTTTCTAAAGGGTGATGTGAAACCACAAGTTTTTCAGACTGCTCCACGTGGCATACTTGCCAAGGGCGGATCCCTAGATTTTTTGTCATTCATTCACTAGGTCAGCATTTATTGCCCAAACCTAATTGCCCCAGAGGGCAGTTAAGAGTCAACCACATTGCTGTGGGTCTGGAGTCACATGTAGGCCAGACCAGGTAAGGATGGCAGTTTCCTTCCCTAAAGGACATTAGTGAACCAGATGGGTTTTTCCCAACAATTGACATTGGATTCATGGTCATCATTAGACTCTTACTTCCAGATACTTATTGAATTCAAATTCCACCATCTGCCAAGGCAGGATACGAACTCAACTCTCCAGAATATTGTCTGGGTCTCTGAATTAACAGTCCCGCGATAATACCACCTGACCATTGCCTCCCCAACAACTCCCCTCTCTCAGCTGTGTTGAGAATTAATCTCAGCCAAGCTGTTACAATATGACCTTAGATGCCCAGGGGAGGGAGGGAGCGAGCCAGTGCTTTTCCTCCTGATCGTTGTGTGGATTATTTGCAGAGCACAAGTTCTGGATTGTCTGCGATAGACATTTGAGAAACAGTAGCCTACAGATTTGGCCTCTTCAGGGAAGAAATGGCAGAAATACTGGCGGATGCATCATAAAAGACATTGGCGATCCAAGCTCATTCTCTCCTATCATACACAACCCCAATGGATCCAAACTCCTTCCCATTTACTCCCACTTACACAAACCCAATGGACCCAACCCTTTTCCCATTTTTCTCCCGCTGTAAACAATCCCAATGAACAAAACTACTTCCCATTCACATCCATCATATACAATCACAAAGGGCCAAACCCCTCCCATTTGCTCACATTATACACAATCCCAGCTGAACCAAATGCCTTCCACTTCACTCTTATTATACACAATTCCCATGGATCCAAATCCCTTCCCATTGTAGACACAATCTTTATGGACCCAAATACCTTCCTATTCAATCCGATTGTACATAGTCTCAAAGGACCCAACCACTCCCTTTCACTCCCATTGTACACAATCTCAATGGACCAATCTCAGCCCAGTCATTCTCTTTATCAATGGCTGCAATGGACCAAACCAGTTTCCAGTCATTCCCATTGTAGACAATCTAACTTGATTAAACTCCTTTAATGGGTTTACTCCGATTACTTTCAATTCTTGATTTAACGATGTTGCTGTGTGCGAACCATTGTGCTTTAAATGCTACACAACAGTCAAAGGTCGTTCTAAACAACAGCAATTTAGAAATCCAGTCTTTATTTGTTCGGCATTTCTGCTGCATGTGGCAGGTCACTTGACTGGCAGATGAAATGGGCTGCAGGACAGAATCTTTCAAATGGGGAACTTTTTTACCTGGAATCACAGGGAGTCTGATCCTAGCATAACACTCCGTAGAAAGGCTGCCTCTGTGTCTATCGGGATTTATTTTATTGTGATGTTTGGGAGGTTGGAGCCTTAAAACTGAACAGCCCCAGAATTTTTAAGTATGATGATGCATTTCCACTAATTAAAACCAAAAGCTAAGAGCTTACTTCCAAGGGCAGAGTCACAAGAGAATCTTGAACAATGCAATGCTTGAACAAAGTTTGTAAGTCTTTCCAAGGGTGTCACACCCTTACATGGTCACAATTTTGAACAGCTTTTTTTCCACAAAGTGCGAGGCAAGAAATATAACATTTTCATTTATATAGCTGCTTTGGCATCACCAGATATCTGCATAGTTGCTGTTCTGAACGTCAGATCTGACAGGGTGCATTTCGATTTGTATTTGTATTTAGATCTTTCATAGACTTGGCTTGTATTGTCTTTTGAATAGAAGATTTGCTTCCCCTGGTTAGGGAATCTTGAACTGGGGGCACAATCTAAAAAACAAGGAAGATGCCATTTAGGACTGAAATGAAGAGAAACGTCTTACTCAGAAGGTGGCTAATATTTGGAATTCTCTACCCCAGAGGATTGTGGAAGCTCAGTGTTTGAGTATGTTTAAAGTACAGGTTGTTAGATTTTTAATTATCAATGTGTAAAGGGTTATGGGGATAATTTGGGTAAAAGGCACTGAAATATTTAATCAGCCAACATCACAATAAATGGCGAAGCAGGCTCAACAGGCTGAATGGCTAACCCCTGCTCCTATATTCCTAAGGCTTGACCTAATTTATGAGAAAAGGATTTGATGGCATAGCAAAAAAAACATTTCTTCTGCTTGGGGAATTCCACAGCAGGGAAGGTGGGAAACTTGAGGTGGGAAACCTCACAACCTTTACAACATACCCAGATGAACACTCAAACTGTCGTAACGTTAAAGGCTATGGCCCTAATGCAGGAAAATGAGATTTCAGATAGATCAGCAAAGACTCTGTGTGCCAAAGGGTTCATCTATACTGTATGACTCTTTGGCTGTAAGGAGCATAACTTTGAAATTAGAGTCAATTTAGTTCAGGAATGATGTCAGGAAACACTTCTTTAAAAAAATTGTAGAAATCTAGAAGTCTCCTTCAACTAGTGGAGTTCCACAGAGGTCAGTGTTGGGACCATAACTATTCACGTTATATATTAATGATCTGAACGAAGGAACTGAGGGCCTTGTTGCTAAGTTTGTAGATGACACAAAGATAAGAGGAGGGACAGGTAGTGTGGAGGAAGCAGGAAGGCTGCAAAAGGACTTGGACATACCAGGCAAGTGGGCAGAGAAGTGGCAGATGGAATGTAATGTGGGAATGTGTGAGGTTGTATTTTGGTAGTTAGAATAGAGGTGTAGACTACTTTCTAAATGGGGAAAGGCTTCGGAAATCTGAAACACAAGGGGACTTGGGAGTCCTAGTTCAGGATTCTCTTAAAGTTAATATGCAGGTTCAGATGGTGGTTAGGAAGGCAAATGCAATGTTAGCATTCATTTCAAGATAGCTATAATACAAGAGCAGAGAAAAACTGCTGAGGCTGTATTAAGCTCTGATCAGACCGCATTTGGAATATTGTGAGCAGTTTTGGACCCTGTATAGAAGGAAGGTTGTGCTGGTATGGGAGGGGGTCCAAAGGAGGTTTACAAGAATGATCCTGAGGATGAAGAGTTTATCATATGAGAAGCGGTTGAGGACTCTGAGTCTGTACTTGATGAAGTTTCGAAGGATGATGGGAGATCTGATTGAAACTTACAGAATACTGATAGGCCTGGATAGAATGAATGTGGAGACGATGTTTCCATTAGTAGGAGAGCCTAGGACCAGAGGGCACAGCCTCAGAGTGAAGGGACGATCCTTTAGAATCAAGATGAGGAAGAATTTCTCACTACCGCAGAGGGCTGTGGAGGTCAAGTCATTGAGTGTATTTGAGTGTGGTAAGGAGATCAAAGGTTATAGGAAGAAAGCAAGAGAATGGTGTTGAGTAACTAGGGAGAGAAGAAGGCTCCTTAAAGATCAAAGAAGCCATCTATGTGTGGAACCACAGGAGGTGGTTGAGATATTAAATGAATATTTTGCATCAGTAATTACTGTGGAGAATGACATGGAAACTACGGAACTTTGAAATAAATTGTGATGTCTTAAAAAGAGTCCACATTACAGGACAGGACTTCTTAAAACACATAAACATTGATAAGTCCCTGGGATCTGATGAGGTGTATCCCAGGATACAGTTGGAAGCTTGGGAAGAAATTGCTGCACCCTAGCAGAGACATTTGTTTCATCAACAGCCATAGCTGAGGTGTCGGAAGACTGGAGGGTGGCTAATGTTGTGCCGTTATTTAAGAAAGGCTGCAAGGAAAACCCAACGAACTACAGACCGATGACCCTGACATCAGTGGTGGGTAAGTTGTTGGAAGGGATTCTGAAAGACAGGATTCACATGCATTTGGAAAGACAAGGGCTGATTAGGGATATTTAGCATGATTTTTTTGTGCGGGAAATCGTGTCTCACAAACTTGATTGAGTGTTTTGAAGAGGTGACCAAGAAGACACATGAAAGCAGAGCTTTAGCAAGTCCTTTGACAAGATTCCGTATGGCAGACTAGTTAGTTATGTTCGATCATATGGGATCCAGAGACAGCTAGCTAATTCGATACAAAATTGGCTTGATGTTAGAAGACAGAAGGTGGTGGTAGAGAGTTGTTTGGACTGGAGGCTTGTGACTCCAGTTGTGGATCACAAGGATCAGTGCTAGGTCCACTATTGTTTGTCATTTACATAAATGATTTGGAAGTGAATATAGCAGGCATGATTAGTAAGTTTGTTGATGACACCAAAATTAGTGGGATGTGGACAGTGAAGAAGGTTATCTAAGATAACAAGATCTTGATCAGCTGGGCCAATGGACCAAGGAGTGGTGGATGAATTTCAATTTACATAATTGCAAGGTGTTGCATTTTGTTGTTGAACAGCGAGACCTAGAGATGCAGGTTTATAGTTCCTTGAAAGTGGTGTCACAAATAGACAGGGTGGTGAAAAAGGCATTTGGCATGCTTGCCTTCATTGGTCAGAGAACTGAGTATAGGAATTGGGGCATCATGTTGCAGCTGTATAAAACATTGATGAGGCCACTTTTGGAGTACCGTATACAGTTCTGATTGCCCTACTATAGGAAGGACATTATTAAACTAGAAAAGGTACAGAGAAGATTTACCAGGATGTTGCCAAGACTGGAGGGTTTCAGTTATAGGGAGAGGCTGGATAGGCTGGGACTTTATTCTCTGTAGTGTAGGAGGCTGAAGGGTGACCTTATAGCATGAGAGACATAGATAAGGTGAATAGCCAAGGTCTTTTCCCCAGGGTAGGGGGAGTCCAAAACTAGAGGGCGTAGGTTTAAGGCTAAAGGGGAAAGATTTAAGAGAGACCTGAGGGGTAACCTTTTCACACAAAAGCGTAGTTCACATGTGGAATCAACTGCCAGAGGAAGTGGTAGAGACAAATACACTTACAACATTTAAAAGACATTTGGACAGGTACATGAATAGGAAAGGTTTAGAGGGATATAGGCCAAATGCAGGCAAATGGGACATACTCAGTTTAGGAAACCTGATCGACATGGACACGTTGAAACAAAGGGTCTATTTCTGTGCTGTACAACTCTATGAATCTATCAGCCATGATCAAATGGTGGAGTAGACCTGATGGGCCAAATGGCCTAATTCTACTCCTATATCTTATGGTCTCACCCTATACCCCCGCAAATAAAGAGACTGGGGAGTCAATTGAAAATTTTGAAACTGAGGTTTGGAGATTTTTTTTGTTAGACAGGGACATTATTTTTGGAACCAAAGTGGCTAAACAGAGTTAAGAACACTACCCTTCCCTTTATTGAATGGTGGAGCAGACTTGAAAAAAATCTCCTCCTCCTGTTCCTATAAAATGTGCTATCTTCTCTGGAACTCCAATATCTGGACATCAGCAGGAATGCCTGGAGAGAGTTTCAATATTAATCTGCATTTAGACTGCTCCCTGGGATGATATAGGGTGTTGTTTTAGTGGAAAAATGGAACTCATACAGAATCAGGTGACTGTCCTTCCTCATGCTGTACAGGAGCATTTTTTTCCATTAAACACAGGCAGTTGACCTCTGCCTTTATGTGCATCGCTTCTGATCACAGTCAATTAATTCCCCCGACATTCTGCATGAAGTAACGGCTGTTAGGTGGAATGCAGACCATGCTTGAGCCTGTCTATCTAACTCAGCTTCTGAGGCCCTGATCCTTGAGGGGAAATACATTTTCTTCTGACACAGTGAAGTACTTAACCCTTTCAAGGCCCTTGGCCTAAGTGAAGTTTTGGAGCCTTTGGAGAGTATTTTAGATTAGAAAGTGCCTCTCAAAAGCAAGGTGTTGCCTATTATTTAAAATCTCTGTTGAAGTGGAAACACTTCCAATTTTGCAGCCACTTTATTCCCTTTTTGTCTTTTTGACACTTATTGTCAGTCTTAGTTCAGTTGTTACACAGTTGCCTCTGAGTCACAAGGTTCCAGGTTCAACTCTCACTCTAGGGCTTCAGTACAAAAATCTCCAGAGACATCCTCAGGGACTGCTCCACTATTGGAGGTACTGTGTCAGGTAAGGCATTAAACTGAGGCTGCATCTGCACCCTCAAGTAGATATAAAAGTGTATAAGCAATTTTTAAGTTTTCTCTCTGGGTGCCTAGGCCAATACTTATACCTCAATCAACAACAAAAAAAAACAGATTATCCACTTAAGAACAGAGGAAATGGGGGCAGGAGGAGGCCATTCAGTCCTTTGAGCCTGCTCTGCCATTCAATAAGATCTCGGCTGGTCATCCAACTTAGTCCCCTGCTCCTATTTGCTCCCCATACTCTTTGATCCCTTTAGCTCTAAGATCTAACTCCTTGAAAATATTCAATATTTTGACCTCAACCAGTTTCTGTGGCAAAGAATTCCACAGGTTCATCAAGCACTGAATGAAGAAATTTCTCCTCTTCTCAGTCCTAAGTGGCCAACCCCATATCCTTAGACTGTGACTTCTGGTTCTGGACTTCTTGGTCATAAGGAACATCCTTTCTGTATTTACTCTGTCTAGTCCTGTTAGACTTTTACAGGTTACTGTGAGATTTCTTCTTCATTCTTCTAAACTCCAATGAATATAGTCCTAACTGATCCAGTCTCTCTCTCCTTATGTCATCCCAAAAATCAGTCTGGTAAACCTTTGCTGCACTCGCTCTATAGCCAGAACATCCTTCTCTAGATAACAAGACCAAAACTGTACATAATCCTCCAGGTATCACATTCCACCACTTCACCCCAGCAGCTTGTCTTTTTATTTCCTTCTTCCTTTGGTGATCACTGAGCTTTCTTACATTAATGAGTCCTACATTCACACCACTCTCTGGGTAAATCCTTCTGAATTCCCTACTGAATTCCTTAGCAACTATCTTTTTGTTATGACCCCCTGCTACGGTCTTCACCACAACATCCGCTCTATGACAGCTCTGTTGAATCCTGCCATAATTTTAAAGGTCTCTACTATGTCATCCTTCATCCTTTTCAGTCTGTTAAAGCCTCAGTCAAGTAGTCAAACGCTCAGAAGTCTCCTCTATGTTTATGATCCATGTCATGGTGGTCCTCCACAGGATCACAGAATTGTTGCAGCATTGAGAGGCCATTTGGCCCATCATGTCTCTGAATGGGCAGTTACCTTGCTGCCATTCTCCCCATAGTCCTGTACAGTTTTACTTTCAGATTCTCTTCTGAAATCTTTGACTGACCTGCCTCCACCACACTGTCAGGCAGTGAAATCCACCGACTGTGCGAAGAAGTTTTTTCTCTCATGTTGTTGTTTCTTTCAAGGACAGAACTCCTCATCCTTTATTCAAACATTGGGCCCAGGGCATGTGGGCGTCACTGGTAAGGGCAGTATTTAATGTCCATTCTAACTGTATCTTGACAGGGTGATGGTGAGCTGCCTTCTTGATCTGCCATAGGATGTATGTACAGCCTGGGGAGAGAGTTCTACGAATTTGATCTACTGACACTGAAGGAATGGTGATGTATTTCCAAGTCAGGATGGTGAGTGATTTGGACGGGAACTTGCAGGGGGTGGTGTTCCCATGTATCAGCTGCCCTTGACTTTTTGGATGGTAGTTGGTTTGAAAGATGCTGTCGAAGGAGTCTTGAGGAGTTGCTGCAGTCCATCTTATAAATAGTACATGCTGCTGCCACTCTGTGTCTGTGCTGGACAGAATGAATATGTAGGTTATGGATGGGGTGCCAACCAAGTGGCTGCTTTGTCCTAGGCACCGTTGAGGGTCTTTAGTATTGTTGAAATTGCACTCACCTTGGCAAGTGGGGAGTATTCCATCACACTCTTGTTGATTGTGGACAGCTTTCAGTATCGCTGGGTAAACATTCTGGAGCTCTCTTTACCCCTCCCCAGCCCTGTGCATCTGTTAATGATTGTCCCCTCATGTCCTTACCTGACTCAGGTGTCTCAGCCAGTGAGGAGGAAGATGTTGAACTTGCCCCGTCCTCATTGGAGGTTTGTGAACTGTGCCCTCGGCCGCTTGGCAGTTTCAGTCCCAGCTGCTCTGCCACCTCCACGTGATCGCCGGGGTGAATGTAATCGAAGATGCTGCTGCCAGTCAGCTCCACCTAGGCAGGATAGAAAGTGGGCACAAACACTCAAAATGAGTTAAACAAAGCACTATTTAGGAATGTGATCATCGAGGAACTGGCGCTGAACAACAATATTAACTGCTGTATTTATCACACCCTCAAAGTCGCAAAGTGCTTCACAAAAAAAAATCTTTGAGCCACAAAATGTGATATAAAGAGTGGTGACCAATAGCTTGGTCATTGAGGTAGGTTTTGAGGAGCTTGTTGGAGGATGACAATGCGGTTGAGGGAAGTATTATAGAATTTGGGACTCAGGCAGCAGATGGTATGGCTGCTGATGGTGGAACAATCTGAAGTAGGGTTGCACCACAGGAATGGAGATATCTTGGAGGATTTGGACCTGCAGAAAGCTACAGAGATAGGTAGGCTTATATATCAACGCTTCCCAGTATAGATCCTGGTGATAAATCCCTCTGTCCCCATCTCCCACAATGTGAACTTTATATATCTCACTAACCATAACCCTTCCTAACTCTAACCCTCCGAAGAAGAGTCATTCTGGACTCAAAACATTAACTGTTTCTCTCTCCACAGATGTTGCCAGACCTGCTAAGTTTCTCAAGCACTTTGTTTTATTTCACATTTCCAGTATTCCTAGTATTTTGCTTTTGTTTGGATATCTATGATTTTTCTATGTTTCTATTATGTTTCCCCCAGTTGGGGAGTCTAGAACTAGGGGACACAGACTCAGGTTACAGGGTAGACCATTTAGAACTGAGCTGAGGAAACCTTTCTTTACTCAGGGTAGTGAACCTTTGGAATTCTCTACCACAGAAGGCTGTGGAGGCCAGGTCACTGAATACGTTCAAGGAAGAGACAAATAATTGTGTAGATTTTAAAGGCAAAAATTGGTATGGGAAAAAAGTGGGAATATGATATTGAAATATTGATCAGCTAGAATAATTCCTAGAAGGGGGATTCCTGTGTTGGCAGGACTAATGCATGAAGACAGACTGGATTAGTTAGGGATATATTCTCTGGAGTTTAGAAGAATGAGGGAGAATCTCATAGGAGCTCATGAAGTTCTAACAGAACTAGACAGGGTAAACGCAGGAAGGAGATTCCCAATAACTGGTGAATCCAGAACCAGGGCTCATAGTCTAAGGGGTTGGAATAGGGCATCTAGGACTGAGATGAGTAGAAATTTCTTCACCCAGAGAGTGGTGAGCCTGTGGAATTCTCTACCACAGAAAGCAGTTGAGGCCAAAACATTTAATGTTTTCAAGCAGTTAGATTTAGTTCTAAGGTTAAAAGGATCAAGATGTACGGGGAGGGAGCAGAAACAGGGTGCTGTGTTGGATGATCAGCCATGATCAAATGGAATTGCAAGCAGGCTTGAAGGGTTCAATAGCCAACTCCTATTCCTTGTTTTTGTTCACTATTTGACCTGTGCAGATCTACAAGAGGTCTGAAAGAGGAAGAGTCAATTCAGGCTCGAAACAGGAACACTGTCTCTCTCTGTCTCTCTCCACAGAGGTTTCCAGACCTGCTAAGTTTCTCCAGCAGTTTCTGATTTAATTTTAGATCTCTAGAATCTGCAGTATTTTATTTTTGTATTATGAATTCCTCTTTCATTTTTATTCTGTCTCACTCTCTTAAAAGTTTCCTACATAAGCTCTCAACTGACAGTTCAAAAGCAAACCGTTCTGCAGCGTGACAGCAGGTGTAATTAATTGATCACGTGACAGCCGATGAAATTGATCACATGACAGGCAGGTAACAAAGTGTGGCTGTTTTCCAAGACAGATTCCCCTTGAATTGTAACTCTTGCCATTGTGAAAAATAAGGTGGACGAGTTGAAAAATTGCTTTCAACCCAGCCCTAATTTATTAGTTTCTCACACGCGTAATTATGCAAAAGATTCTGGCCCTGCTTGTTGACCTTTAATATTCGAAGGAGTCAATACCTGTCTTTAGAGGCTCAGATATGAAGAGGGCTGGTGAATATTAATGCTGTTCTATTCATTCCTTATTCACTGAGTGTGGAGGTTAGGTTATTGCAGACCAAATGAAGTCAAGCCCTGTCTCAGACCTCTTAATTACTAATGCAGGAGAGGACACAAAACGAAAAGAAGAGAAGCATCTGCCTTTTAATATCTAAAGATTTAGCGAAGCTGAATACAGGCGATGATTGTCTTTTTGGTAGCTCCAATTTGTCTCATTTGCATGACATCTCTCCAGGGCCCAAAGACTTGCACATTCCAAACCGTAGTGAAGCCTGCTGCATCAGTGCCATTTCTGAAGGAGTGCTGCATTGCTGGAGGTGCTGTTTCTCAGTTCAGATGTCAAAATCAGAGCCATAAGGTTGAAGAGCAGGGCAGTTCTCCTCATGTTCTGGACATCATTGTCCAGCCAACCAACAGTACCTCAGGACAGATTATCACTTTGGTGTTTGAGGAATCTGACCATGTGAGAACTGACTACTGTACTTCTACCACTTTACAGAGCACTCAGAAACATCCTGAGGTTGCTACGTTAAATGCATTCTCCCATTTTTACATTAACTTGAAAATGATTTTGTTCAGCAATCACATTTACACTACATCCTTTTTAAAAGAGTGTAAAATGGAAGTGGCCATGGAAGTGCCCTATATTCATTCCCGTGTCACATTTCAGGCTGCAGGTCTCCTTGGCACTGAAAGTTCAGCAAGGAGCTCTGCAAAGCAAACCAAGCAACTAGGGTTTATTTCTTGAGGGATACAATTGAAAATTGGGCTTATTACACTGAACCTGTATCAAACTTTGATTAGACCACATTTAGCACACCATGTGCAGCCAGTTCTGGTTGGGATGTTAGTAAAAGGGGTTGGGGTGTGTGCTGCCAATGCTAAGATAGCTGATGAAAATGGCCGTGAGGATGTCACACTACCGTGACAGAGCTTTCTAGCTGGCTTCTCCCCACAACAACTGTCGCTCCCTACACACACACACACACACACACACACACCACCTACCTCTGCTAGCCACAACTCTCATTCCCTCCCACCCTCCACAATCCCATTGTTGTATGGCTTGGCACTCAGGCCTTCTCCGTGCGCCACCTTACAGTGCTGCTGGCAATAGGTGCAGCCAGAGGCATGTGGAGGGAGCAAAGAGGATCTACAGGGATGATACTAGGGCTGTCACATATTTGGAAATGATGGATTGCCTGGCTCCTTTTCTGTTGAAGGCTTGACGACAGACCTAATAACGATCTTTAAAACTATAGAAATTAAATCTTTGGTCAAATGGACAAACGGAGAATGCTTCCAATTGTAGAGAAGAGCATAAATAGAGGTCATCCATTTCAATCAGCTCCCTCGAAATACAAACGGGAATTGAGACAAAACATCCTCACCCAGAGAATAGCAAGAATGGGGAAATCACTCCCACATGAAGTGATTCAGGCAAACAATGCGGATGCACTTGAAAGGTTGCCATAGTCCTGCTAATGGTCAGGCTGCTCTCCCATTAAAGAGAGATGATTAGCGGCCAGTTTAACGTGAGGGTCACCACACCTCCAGTGAGGGGTGAGATTGAAAAAATGGGACCTTCATGGTTAGCCAGTACAGGATGCATGTAATGGAAGCCAGACAGGCAGACGGGAGGAGGAAAACAGGGTTATGATGGGAGATTTAGATGTAGATGAGGAAAGATAGACTGGCTTGAGTGGCTGTGGGGAATGTCAACTGTGGAATGTGAAGTAAAGTAATAAATCTGGAATACAAAGCTAGTCTCAGTCATGACAACTACTCTCAACTGACAATAAAAACCCCATCTGGTTCACCAATGTCCTACAGGATAGGAAGTCTGCTGTCCTTACCTGATCTGGCCTACATGTGACTCCAGACGCACAACAATAGGATTGACTCTTAATTGACCTCTGAAATAGCCCTAACAAGACATTCAAAAGCAATTAGGGATGGGCAACAAATGCTGGTCTTGCCAGCAATGCCTACATCTTGACAGAGAATAAAGAAAATAAAAACACTAGCACAAACTGGTTGGGCTGAATGGTCTGTTTCTATGTTGCGTATCCTATATATATAATCTTAAATAAACCTCTTTTGGCCAACTTTAGGGACAGGCAAATAGAAGTCTTGGGGAAAAGATGCAAACTCATGAATATGGCTCTCTCTGATGCTTCCCTAGGTGTTTCCTGCCTGGAAGTGGGGACCCTTCTGGATGTAACGTGTTTTAACTGCTGCTATAAGATGCCACCAAATAATGGCTAATTCCACATCAAGGAACAGAGTAGGTGATTAGTGGGGTTTGGTGACAGAGAAGTTGATTTATGGCAACGACTTGTCCAACTTACTCACCATTTCATCCAGAGCAAATTGCTCAGACCTTTGTGATTAAGAAGAAAGGGAAAAACACAAGAACGTCCCAATCAAGGCCATCAAGGCGAATTGATCGTCTAGTGGTATACCTATACGATTAATCCAGATACCCAGGTAATGTTCTGGGGACTCAGGTTTGAACCCTGCCATGAAACATATTGGAATTTGAATTCAAAGAAAGAAATTGGAATTAAGAGTCTAATGATGACCAAGAAACCATTGCCGATTGTTGTAAAAACCCATCTGGTTCTCTAGTGCCCTTTAGGGAAGGAAATCTACTGTTCTTATCTGGTCTGCCCCATGTTACATGTGACTCCAGACGCATGGCAATGTGGTTGACTTTTAACTGTCCTCCAGACAATTATGGGTGGGCAATAAATGCTAACCAGTGATGCCCACATCCTGTGAATGAATAAATAACTCTCCCATCTGGCATCCCACTGTGGGCCCCTGCACAATGGCTTGACAGATTACTCGTGACATTTCTTATACTTTGCATGAGGATGCTCTCGATTTGAATTTACTTGTCACTCGATATTATAGTTCTTGCCTTATTTGAAAATAATATTCAGGTTTTAACACATCAATCAATAGCGTTCTCTCGAGGCTAAAGAGGAAGAGTTTTTATATTCCTTTCTCTAGCCAAATCTCATAA